CTATACCCTAACCATATATCACTATGAGTTGTGATTTTGCTAGTATAGTTAATTTAAAGTGAAATTCATACTTTGATTTTCGAAACATAGACAAAAAAGTGATATTTGCTATACCCTAACCATATATCCTATACTCTACACCATATATCATGTACCCTAAACACGTAACATAAACATAAATTAAAAAGGGACCTCCTGCCATTAAATAGTTTAAAGGACTTCAAGTGAACATATGTTAATAAAAAAACTTAGAACCGTCAAAACTATCAGTACCTTATACCCTAACCATACACGCCTTAAACCATATGTACCTTATACCCTATACCCTAACCATATATTTTATACCAACCGTAAAAAATTACTTATAAAGTTTAGTATAAATTTTTTTTTTGACAAATAAAGTTTAGTATAATTGTTGGTTCATATTCATCACCTGCCCATAAGGGCTGGGAAAATAGACCAGATCGTTAGAAAAACCGTGGTCCAAATCGTACCGCACAGTTTGGTCCGGACCGTAGACCGTTAAGTATGGTCTGGTCTGGTTCATGATCTGTATTATTTTATGTTTTGATCTCTTGGTCTGGTCTGGTCTATACCGCGGTTTACTGGACCAAACCGTGGACCCAACCGACTTGTCAATACGTGTTAACATCCCATTCGACCACTCTCCCAACTCCCACAACGACACCCAAGTCTCAACCTTAGTTTGTGAATCTCGTCCCTCCATTCACAACCACATTTAACCAGAGAGTATAGCTAATCGTGTCTCCATATGACATTATGTTAATGTTTATGACGTTATGGTGCAAGTTAGGATGCTTTTACTTTGTATCTTTGTTATGTACTAAGATTTAGGGTATCAAAATTATTCATGCATGTTAGGATTAATGTTTTAAGGCAAATAACAATTATTTTTCTTGGTTATTGGTTCAATTTTTTGTGTGGTTGACTAAACAAATTATTCATTTTTTGTTGAGTGTGGTCTATCTAGATCAGACCAGACCGAACCAGACCGCACAGGCGTGGTCTGGATCGGATCCATATAGTCTGTGGTCTGTCTGTGGTCTATACTTCAGCCTCTCGGTCTGGACCATAGACCGTATATATGGTCTGGTCTGGACCAGACCACATCGTTTTCCAGCCCTACCGCCCATAAATTTCCCATTCCAAAGTTCCCATCTGAACCTCCCTCTCATTTTCCATTCCAAAGTGACCCGTAACCCGATTAACCAAAATTTCAAACCCGCAACTTCGACTGAGTTATTGCAATCGTAAGACTTAACAGGCCAAGTCTAACACCCATTTTGAAATGAAAGTTCAATTTTAACACACCTCAAATGTGCGAAAATTTTGCTAAGTGTTGTAAAATAATGATCATGTAGTGTTGAAATTGCAATAAGAAGTATAGAAAATAAGTAGACAAATTAAGTAAATTTTTCAAAAATAAATGATTGTTGTAAACACCAAATTTGTTTTCTTATTTATTTTTCACAAAAAATTAAAATAGTAAAATTCTTCTTCTTTCTCCTTCCATAAATTAGAAACACTCAATTTTCCCTCATTTTTTTCTTTCATAAAATTTAAAGAACCAAATTTAAAATTTTCCTCCTCTTTCTCTTCCATTGAAGAACCAAATTTTCCTCTTCCTTCATTCCACAAAAAGTTGAAACCACCAAATTTCCCCTTTTTCTTTGCTTAAAAAATTCTAAAAACCTAATTTTGCTCTTGTTTCTTTTCCCAAAAAGTTGAATACACTAAAAATTTCCTATTCTTTTGGAAACATCAAATTATAAAATACATTGCTTTACTTTATTTATATTTATTTCATAACTTTATTGAATAGTTAAATTAATCAAAATATTAATTTACATATTATATTAATATTGTCCATGATCTCAATTATTAATTATTCATTATCAATATTCACATTGTGCTGATTTTATATTTTATATTTACTTTTTTAATTTTGTTAAAGAACTTAGTGTTCAAGTGACCTTCTTGTTTCAATTTTTTTTAATTTTCTTAAAATAGATAATATCAAGTAAGTTTCATATTTTCAAATTTCCTATAGGAAATGAAGAAATAACTTTACCTAAGTTAAGAATGAAAAACTTTATTTTGAAAAACTATGTATTATATAATATAATACTTATTCAAGTGGATTAGATGATGTTTGGGTTGAGTCAATCGGGTTGCGGCTTAGTCGGGTTCGGATCAATCGGGTTGCGGGTTTAATCGGGTTGCGGATCAAACGGGTTCTGATTAATCGGGTTGCGGGTCAGTCTGGTTGCGAGTTAGTCGGGTTGCGGGTGAATCGGGTTGCGGGTCGGGCGGGTTACGGGTTGTTGACTTTTAGTCAATTCGGGTTGCGGGTCGGGTTGATCGGGCGGGTTAGTCAGGTCGAGTTCTATTTGACACCTATATTTCAATGTAGCTGGATAATTAGTCATTTGTATATTAATTTTTAAGTCCTTTAATTAGATCGATCAATTAAGTTCAACTTGTATATTTTGTTTTTCTGAAGTTCCTTAATCTAAGCTAGATTGATTAAGTTATTCAACATACAAACATTGAAGAATACTTTTGGACCGATAATGTACAAATTGTTCTTCAAATACTCATATAATAGGCATTCATTTTCCTATTATTATGAAAAATTGGATGGGATACACAACATTGAAATGCTTTATTAATTTGTTGATTTCTCTTATAATTTTATATTGAATTTACCATGCTCAAAATTTTAGATAGATAAGTTTACTCAACTTTTTAGTTATCATAATATTATAAAATATATTTTTAATTATTTTGATTAATTTTAATACATTTGTTGTAAAAAACTTTGGCCCCCCGAATGATAAATCTTTGCCCCCCCTGGGTATTGTCATTCTGGTTTGGCCACCATATGCAATGCAGTATGACTTCTATTCAAGTCTACGGTAAAAAACTCTAGTATTGGGCCTGTTTTTAGGGGAACGGATCAGGTCAGTAACCTGGTCCTGGTGAGTAACCATGAGTAACCCGTCCACATCAGCATGACATAGTATCCTCTCTCTCTTATAAAGCCTTTAATTTTCCATTCCTTAATTTTTGACGGACAATTTCTCACTTATTTTAAGTAAAAATTTAATTTTTTTTTTGCACAGTTAGATCAGATTAATTGTGCTCTTCAAAATGATATCCACTTTGATATATTTTTTGAACAAAAAAATTGAGCCATTTTTTACCAGTCCCATATGGTATTGACTGGTATTGAAATAAGAGCATACCTATGTTTGAAAAGCGTACCATGGTGGTATGACACAAACCAAAACTGTAGAATGGTTGAATACATGATAGTAGAAGTATATTAATTGTCATTTACGACTTTTAACATTGTATACCATAAGATACCACCCCGTACTAGGGTGGTATTGTATGGTATTGTGTGGTATTTTTTGGTCCTATAATTTGTTCACCTAGAAATTTGTAGATCCAATAGATCATGATGAACTCGTCCCTGTTGTGCAAACGTTTTCAAAAACAAATTAAAAATGAAGAAAATACCATATGGTATGCAGTTGGTACCGAGAGGCCAAATTTTTTTTTCTCAAAAAATATTGAAAATTGATCTCATTTTGTAGAGCACGATGAACTCGTTCCATCTGTGCAAAAAAAATTAAAATCCGAGTTAAAACGAAAAAGATATGAGTCAATTAAGAAAGCTAGGAAAAATAAAAATAATCTTTAATTCTCAATCATTAGATCCGGATTTTCAAAATGAAAGGTCCAGATTTGGTTATTGATGGGTGCATAACCCATGGTTATGCAACCTATCTTGAGCCGTTTTTGAGGTGGTGGGCTTGTGGTAGCACGGGTAGCGTTGGAGGCCCAATAACAAAGCTTTCCTGATTTGTGAGCTTAGACGGTCAATGAAGTCCACAATTCCCGAGTTAGCTAAATTGCGCTGCTCCTCTTTTCCCAGAGCTACAAGGAAAAGGAATGCTACTATTGTCAAAATAGGACAGGTTTCTTCTTCTTTCCCATCCCATCCCCTAATCCGAGACGGTAAAGGATTCCAATTTCAGTTGCTTACTTGCTCTTCCTTCATCACCTAATCCGAATCCCAAGCTGAAAGGGGCTCAAGATAGGTAACCAAATCTGGACCCTTTATTTAGAAAATCCAGATCTAAGAATGGAGAATTAAAGGTCATTTTTATTTTCTCTAACTTTCTTAATCTACTCATATCTTTTTCGTTTTAACTCGGATTTTAATTTTTTTGCACAGATGGAACGAGTTCATCGTGATCGACAAAATGAGATAATTTTCAATATTTTTTGGAAATTTTTTTTGGCCTCTCGGTACCAATTGCATACCATATGGTATCTCTTCTTTTTTAATTCGTTTTTGAAAACATTTGCACAGAAGGGACGAGTTCATCATGATCTATTGGATCTACAAATTTCTGGGCAAACAAATTACAGGACAAAAAAATACCACACAATACCATACAATACCACCCTGGTAAGGGGTGGTATCTTGTGGTACACAATGTTAAAATTCGTAAATGACAATTAATATACTTATACTATCATGTATCCAACCATCCTACAGTCTTGGTTTGTACATACCACCATGGTACGCTTTTCAAATCATAGGTATGTTTTTATTTCAATACTAGTCAATACCATATGGTATAGACTAGAAAATGACTCAATTTTTTTTGTTCGAAAAATATATCAATGTGGATATCATTTTGAAGAGCACAATTAATCTGATCTAACTGTGCAAAAAAAAAAAAAAATTTCCACTTAAAACGAGTGAGAAATCGTCCGTCAAAGATTAAGGAGGGAAAAATTAAAGACTTTCTAGGAGAGAGAAGATGTTGATGTCATGCTGATGTGGACGGGTTACTCATGGTTACTCACCATAAGGTTACTGACCTGATCCGTTTCCGCTGAAAGGTGAAATCTTCATCACCAATATAATGTCTATAGAGCCTATCACTTGCCAATTTCTCATTCTGTTTCCTCTTCATTCCTCTTTTCTTCACTCTGCTTTTTTACTTGCTCTGCTTTGCTGTTCGATTCCGACGATGGCGTGGAGGTGAGGAGATTGTATCGGAAGGGGAGGTTACGGGGAGGTGTTTATCGCCATCCCAAGTAACCCCGCCTTCAAGAATATGGCCGTGAAATCGGCGCCAGTAGAGAACGCCGTCTCTCTTTGATCGAGTACCAAATTTTGGAGAAGTTTCGCGACGTCCCAGGAGTGGTGCAAACTTACGGCGATCAAATCAGAGAACCCGAACCCGGAAGTCGCGGAGGAGGAAGAACGTACAACCTGCTAATGGAACTCGCGCCCCGAGGATCTCTCGTCAATTTGATCGCCGATTACTCCCGCATCGGACGACAAACAACAAAAATCCCGAAAACTCACGTCAGAGGCTACGCAAGAATGATTCTCCGTGCTCTCTCCTCCATCCATTCGCTTGGATTCACCCATTGCGACATTAAACCCGACAATGTCTTGTTTTTTTGCGCGAAAAACAGGGGAGGGCAGAGTCTCTGCGAATTGAAGATCGCGGATTTTGGGCTGGCAAGGGAGACCTCGAAACTGAGTCCCAAGAGCAAGAGATTCACAGGAACGCTGAGGTATATGCCGTCGGAGGTGGCGGTGGAGGGGAAGGTTTCGCCGGCGATGGACTTATGGGCGTTGGGCTGCACTTTAGTGGAGATGCTGACGGGGAATGTGCCCTGGAGCAGATTCAAGGAGGGCCGAGAAGAATTCATGGAAATTGCAGCAGTCGGGACGCTAGAGATTCCAGAGTTGGTGTCGGTGCAGAGGAAGGATTTCTTGAGAAAGTGTTTTGCCAGGGATCCCAGCCAGCGGCTGCACGTTGATATGTTTCTCAAGCATCCCTCGTGGAAGATTATGGTGTCATAGGAGACCAAAGGTCAAAGACGACGGCGATCGGTGGAGGAGGAATGGAGATGCAGAGATCGGCCCTAGTTGTGCGTCCTCGTCAGTTGTTTCAGCCGGTAATGTGTTTACCCATAAAAAAATCAGATTGTACCACATGGATTAACTACAAGAAATTCAATGGATTTATAAGGCCAGCTCAACATTAATGATTAAAAGAGCCAGCTGGGCCTAGTTGGGTTGGATTTTTGGGCCTAAGTGGCCACGCCTCTTCTTCCCTACACGATGGCCGACCCGTCTCCTTGGCCCCATAGCCGGACGATGTGCTTCTCCCCTTGGTAGAAAATTTGGCCTCCAAAAAACTAAGTCTTGGAAACAAGGCGACGCAACGGGGTGCCAAATGACCGGGTACCAAATAGGAGGCCATCCAAAAACTAATTCTTGGAAACAAGGCGACACCACGGGGTGCCAAATGACCGGGTACCAAGCCGGATAACAAATAGGAGGCCATCCAGAAACTAAGTCTGGAAACAAGGAGACACGACGGGGGCCCGGGTTATAAGGCCATCCAAAAACTAAGTATTGGAAACAAGGCAACACAACAGGGTGCCAAACGACCCGGGTCAACGACGGGGTATCAAGCCGGCAAAGCAAGGCTTGGTACTTTGACGTAGAATTTGGCTAAGTATTGGTACTTTGACATAGAATTTGGCTAAGTATGAAGCAAAAGGGGTATCAAGCCGACAATGCAGACTTGATACAAAAAGATATAAAAATTGGCTCTAAGTATGGGGCCAAGAGGGTACCATGCCGGAAAGGCGGGCTTGGTACCAAGACATGGAATTTGGCTAAGTGTGGAGCTAAGGGGGTATAAGGCCATCCAAAAACTAAGTCTTGGAAAAAAGGCAACACAACAAGGTGCCAAACGACCGGGGTCAACGATGGGGTATCAAGCTGGCAAAGCAGGGTTTGGTACTTTGACATAGAATTTGGCTAAGTATTGGTACTTTGAAATAGAATTTGGCTAAGTATGAAGCAAAAGGGGTATCAAGCCGATAATGCAGACTTGATACCAAAAGATATGAAAAATTGGCTCTAAGTATGGGGCCAAGAGGGTACCATGCCGGCAAGGCGGGCTTGGTACGATGACATGGAATTTGGCTAAGTATGGAGCTAAGGGGATACCAGGCCGGTAAGACAACCTCGGTACCAAGACCCCTACAAGGTACCAAGCCGGCATGACAGGCTAGGAAGCCAAGCAAGGCGACGGGGTGCCATGACCCCAAGGGGGTATCAAGCCAATAAAACGAACTTGATAGCCAGACATCATGGTATCAAGCCAACAAGACAAGAAATTTGACTAAGGCATGGTGATTAGCTGAGGTGGCCACCCAACTAGGTACCAAACAACCATGGATGGATCGACCAGGATGTCGGGGGCCATATGGAGACAAAGTCCAAAGACGGGCTTGGTAGCACCTTAACGGGGTACCAAACCGACAGGGTGCAACTTACCAACTTAACGAGGCTATAAACACTAAGTATGGAGACCAAACCGGCAAGGCTGGCTTGGTAATAGGAGCCGACATGACTGGCTTGATGGAAGGGGTATCAAACCAGAGACACAATAAAAGCGGGAGCAAGAAAAGGAAATAAAGCTAAGTGTGGAGTCTTGGGGGCTGCCAAGAGTGGGGTCGAGACTTCATCATGGAGGCAAGGTTGAGGGCTTCAACCTCATCCAGTCAAGACAAGGCGACAAGACCAACACCAATTCGGTTGGGCGTCGAGGGCATCAAGTACCAACCAGTCAACAAGACGGGTCAAGGAGGTGAAGAACAAGACAATGGTTACCAATTGGCCACCAAGGCAACAAAAAAGGGGTCTCTAAGGCGGTTGGAGCAACAAGCCGGCTAGCAATTACCAAGGATATTACTCCTAGTGGCTATAAATAGGAGAAACGAAGATGGGAAAAGGGTTCCACAACCAAACATTTGACAACATATGTCAAACTCTATTTTTTTCTCTGCAATGTAGCCGTAGTCGTAGCCTTTTGTTTCTGGAGCTCTCACTGAACCTCCATAGGAGTAGGTGTAATTAACTTAGTTTGTTCCCAAAAAACCATCAAAAACATCAGACACCCTCGTTCGAACATTGTTCGGAGAGGAGTGAAGGTCTCAGTCTCGCCATCGTACACGTGACCCCGAGAGTTAACAATAGTAATCCCATATACCGCCGGAGTCGAGTATGAGAAGAACGACCCATCACAGAAAATCACTCGGGTATAGGGAGGTGGTTCAGTGTTGAAACGGGAACCCCTAGACTGAGAAGGTAACTGAGTTGGCCGGTAAGGAATCGAAGAAGGTGACAATGAGCCCTGATAGGTTCCAAGTTTCCGAGGCATGATGACAGTGGAAAAGACAGTGCATCACCGTTTCATATGGCATCTCATAGATTGGACATTTCGGCTTAGGAGTGATAATCGGCTTTAATATATCTGATTCTTGAACTTTATGTGACTATCCCATGGTATGTTTAAGCCAATTGGTGCGATTTTAGGGCTCCCTAACCCGAGAATGGTTGAAAAACCATTACTGCCTAGTGCCATGAGTTTGATGTATTACAGGTGAAGAAAACACGAAAAAGAAGTTGCACCGGCAAACAATTCTCGAAATCTGGGCTTAAAGCCCAGCTGGATGGGGATTAATTACTTGGGCCAGGGAGGACTATTATTGTTTGGGCCGAGCCCTTACTAAAACTGGCGGAGGCAATTTTGGTGGAGGGGGGAATTAAAGGAAGCAGATTTTTGGTGGGATAGGGGGAGTTGTCTCTGGCGGCAGAAATCTCTTGGAAAAGAGGGAGAAAAGCAGCGCAACGCAGGGAAGCTTGTCCCGCGCAGAGATTGGAGCGGTGATTGGGCAATTGACGATCGACTTTTTCAAGGCGGCTTAAGCTGAATTCAACAAGAGCGATTAATTTGGTTGGATTTTCTAGACCGAACTAGTTGTTGATTGTTGATTTAGAACATGATGATCAAAACCCTATTGTTTTAATCTCAATTTCATCATGAACTAAACCCCGATTTCTGGGGGAAACACCATAGGATGTAGCTTTTTCTATATTTGATGGATTGATTCATATATCTTTTCTTTTAATCTCTATTGCATGGAATTGCTTAATGCTTTGTGTTGACTGGCCACCAATACATCGATTTGTAGTTAATTAGGTTATTAGCGATAGTGAAACCCTAATAACTGAACCTATTTCATGTGACATAGTAACTTAACGAAGCGACAGTGGATTAAATAAGGTGCTATGCGGCCTTAAATAGGATATCGGTCTTCAGACTAAATAATTAACTCATTGAGCTATGACAGTAGGATTTGAATTAATTGCTTAGTACGTAGTAATTCCCGACAGGGATAGCTAGCACAGTAGTGATATCCTGGCTGTAGAGATATGGATTAAATTGATTGGAATATGTGAATTAATCTGGATAGAATAGGATAGGTAGTGAGTCCCGGTGTTTCTCCCAGAGCTTTTTCCATTGAATTTCTCCCGACCATTTTACTTTGCTTAATCAGTTAATTTTTCTTTTAGATAATTAGTCTCATTAAACCATTTTCACCAATAGTTTGCTCTATAAAATTGAGAGAACTTAAGGTTGTACCAGTCCCTGAGAGACGATACCCGGACTTTTCGGTTTACTACGAGATAGGGAAGGCCGCTTTTGCCCTATCAAGGAGCACATCGGCGGGTGAAAAGTCGCTCCCTCGTCGCAAACTCGCAATAGCTTTCTTAGCACATTTCCATATGAAGAACCACAACTTGGGAGGTAGAGCAAGGGACCACATCCACTTCCAATCTTCACTATTGGGGTTGATTTGCATTTGAGGTGGATGGGCGGCATGCAAATCACGTGCTTCACGAAGGACATGGTAGGCCGAGCGGACAGTATACTCTCCATTAATAGTGTGATTCCAAGCCCAGCAATCCCTCGATTCAGCAGGACCAATAGGGACTCGAAAGATAGCATCTGCGACATTCTCAACGCATATGTTTCGGATAGCAGCAACGTCCCAAGACCAATCAATCTGCCGAATCCAATCACTCACTCGAGAATCGGGGAGGTTTGGATCAACCACGGAAAGGCTCGGAAGGGATGGAATCCACGGGTCAAGGTTGAAGCTGGTATCCTCCCCTGACATGATCACCTTGATCATTCCTCCTTTAATCGCCTCTTTCGTGTCACACAAGCCATTCCACAACCAAGATCCACATCTTTCCTTTGGAGCTACGAGAAAATTTCCATACGGGAAGTACAACCCTTTAAGGAGCTTCACCCACAAAGCCTCTAGGTTCTCCAAAATTCTCCACACCTGTTTACCAAGAAGGGCCAAGTTAAACATGTGAAAATTACGGAAACCCAAACCACCTAACTGTTTTGGTCGTTCAAGAGTTCTTGCATCACACCAATGAATCGATTTCTTCCTCATATTTCCCGCCCAAAAAAATCTCTTCAAGATGGAGTCCATTCTTTGGGTAATAGACAGTGGCAGCAAAAACACACTCATGATGAAGGTCGGAATAGCTTGAAGCACCGCTTTGAGCAAGACCTCCTTCCCTCCTGGAGATAAAAGAAGACTTTTCCAACAATCACCCTTCTTTTCCATCCTCTCAATCAAGAACGAGAACGTCTCCTTCTTAGATCCCCCCCCCCCCCCTCAGATGGCACCCCCAGGTATTTATCATGACAGGAAACTGGTGAGAACCCACACTGTGATGTAATCAGCTCCTTAATTGCATCCAGTGTATTCTTGCTAAAGAAGATGGAAGATTTGGAAACATTGATTTCTTGGCCGGTGACACTCCCGTAACTCTTCAAGATGTTCATGATATGGGTTGCTTCCCTCACGCTACCTTTGCCAAAAATCATAGTATGATCGAAAAATAGGCAATGAGAAATAGTAGGACAATGCTGATTTATTTTGATTCCTCGGATGTCCCCTTCCTCAACCGCTTTGTCGATGAGGAAAGAAAGTGAATTGGAAAGCATAATGAACCAGAAAGGGGACAGGGGGTCCCCTTGGTGAATCCCTCGTGAAGGTGAGAAGTACTCTGTAGGGCTTCCATTGAACAACACTAAAAAAGAGATCGTTCGAATGCATTGATTAATCCAGCTTCTCCACTTCCCGTCAAAACCATACGCTTGCAAGATAGCATCCAAGCAATCCCAATCAACAAGATCATAAGCTTTCCTCATATCAAGCTTCATCATCATATCTCAATTTCCGCTTCTTCGGTTCTTAAACTTGTGAAGAATCTCCTGAACCATGATAATGTTATCCTGAATCATTCTCCCTCTTGTAAACGCAACTTGATTTTCAGAAACTAACTTCAGCATCCATCTCCTAAGTCGCGTTGTCATGATATTGGATATCACTTTGTATCGAAAATTACAGCAGCTGATTAGTCTAAATTGGCTCACCAACTCCGGAGCCAGGACCTTTGGTATTAGCACAATATGAGTTTTGTTCCAACCTTGTGGCATGTCTGAGGACAAGAAGAACTCTTGGACTTCTTTACAAAAGTCATCCTTAATCTTGTTCTAGAATTTCCGGAAGAACAGCCCCGCAAAACCATCTGGTCCCGGGAATTATCCTGACCAAGATAAAAAACAGCCACTCTAACTTCCTCCAATGAAGGTATCTTGCATAATTCTGAGTTCATTTCATCAGTGACCAGCTTGGGAAAACCCTATAAAATCTCCGGATTAGGCACTGTGGAAGTACTAGCGAAGAGGGCTTGGTAAGAGTTCAACACATGATTTGATATCTCATCCTGTTGATTGAACTCATTTCCTTGATCGTCTTTGAGAGATACAATCTTGTTCCTCTGTTGTAATTTGTTGTTGTTAAACTCACTTGGAAGCTCTCAAAAGCATATACTATGTGGTTTTGAAAACATGACTATTAATCCTTAATCGCATGTTTGAGTATTTGCACCCAAATATTATGGGTGTTCAAACGGAATGGTTCCCTTGGTAACCATATTAACCGGTAGAATTCGGTTAATTTAGATTATTGGTTTGGTTTGGTTAAACAATTTAGCTTATTTGGTTTAGGTGGTTTGGTTTGGTTTCAACATTGCTAACCAATTAAACCAATTAACCAATTTATGATACACCTAATATACTAAAATTATTTATACTTACATGCAACTAACCAAACAAAACTTTCGTGATTCCCTATTTTATGTCTATGTGCACAACAAATTAGAATATTATGGGTCAAAATTAAATGGGTATGCCTATTTACTAAACCAAAACATTTTGAACAGCTACTAGACTTTAGGATTACATACAATACCATGACAGCCACCTCAAATTATGTATAGTTTAATTATTTTGTAGGAGACCTTTAACTTCCTAATGAGTGGTATTTGTATGTATTTAATATTTATGTGAATGGTTTGTTGCAAGCTAACTATATTAGGTGCAGAGATGATGAATGATGTATTAACTCGAATGATGATGATAATCATGGATGGTTAGTCTTATTATTATTGCTTATATATAATGATAGTTCATGATAGTAGCAAAATATGATTATTTTTTATTCATTAATAGGATAATTGTTTTCATTTAATGTTATGTTATTTGGTTAATCCGATTAACATTGGTTTGGTTAATTTGGACGGTTTGGTTAAGACATTTTATTCCATGGTTAATGAAATTTAGGCTTAATTGGTATTGTTAATACCACGGTAACCATTTGAAGACCCCTATCAAATACCATTATCCTCGGAAAAAGTAACACTATTTATAATGTTTTCAAATTTGAATCGTGAGTCAAAATTTGTGTGGTCATCGTGAAAATATTATTTATCCTTAGAAAATTAGTAGAGTGAAATTTTGGTTTTCACGTGTCAATCTATGCGCAACCACGATGAAAACAAGACACAATATAACATGGTTTCCCCAACGGTGGTCGTTGGGACTAGTCCACGGAGAACGGCAACGGTGATTCTTATTGACGTAAAAGATAATCTCATCATGTACAGCCATGCAACATATATATGGCTAAGACTAATGCTAACCCTAACTCGGATAATTACAAAGTGGTACCCAAATAATTACTTCATGATACATATACTTCTAACACCCTCCACAAATTAATGTAGTTGTCGAAATATTAATTTGTGTGCAAGGAACCAATGACGAGCCGAGGCAACAAATTTAGTCAACAAATCGGCAGTCTGATCTTCTAAAGTAATGTATGCTAGGACCAGTTCACCCTCTGCAACAAGCTAACGTATATAACAAGAGCCTCAATGTGCTTCGTCCTATCATCAAGTACCGGTTTAGTAGCAATACGAATAGCACTCGTATTATCCACATATAAGCAAATAGGAGAACGAACTATCACCCCAAGTTCAGCCAGCAACCGCTTGATCCACACTATCTCAGACGCAACCTCATTCATAGAGCGATACTCCGCTTTTGTGGATGACTCAACCGGATACACCAGCCTGAGGTACTGCGTCGAGTATCGGGAGAACTTGCGTAATCAACATCAGCATAAGACTCCATTACCTCCTCCCCTATTGCAAGAAACTGAAGACCCACATCTTGAGTACCTCGAAGATAACATAGGATGCGTTAAACAACAGCTCGGTGCGTCGTCCTAGATCCAGTCATGCAGTCATTGGTGCTCTAGATAAAACCAGCATGTCGTATGGTGTCCTAGAATTTCTCAAACCAGAACGGGGCGCCTGTTTCAAACCATACAAAGATCACTTGAGACGACAGACCATCGAACTATCAACACAAGTGTAATCGGGAGGGTGCTCCATATAAATGACCTCCTTGAGGTCCCCATGGAGAAAGACATTCTTCACATCCAATTGAAGAAGCTGCCAGCCCTTCATAGCTGCGACAGCAAGCAAACTGCGCACCGTATGCATTTTATCTACCGGGGCAAAGGTTTCAGCATAGTCCACACCATATTCTTGACGAAATCCTTGAGCAACAACCCGTGCTCTGAACCGCTCCACACTAACATCCGGTAGCATTTTCACCGTATACACCCACTTGCTACCGATAACAGAAAATTCAGGTTGACGAGGGACCAAGTCCCACGTTTGGGCAGCTTCAAGAGCCTCCTTCTCCAAGTCCATACCCCGCTCTCAATGCTCTATTACCTTCGCCTGTTTGTAGCTCGCCGGAACGACCACTTCAGGAGTTGAGACGGCCACTAACTCCGAGTGATGGGGAGGCGGGACGCCCTTGGTAGCACGCAAGGAGCGGCGTAGCTGGGGTGGCTCGACCTCAACAACAGGCTGAATATTAGATTCATGGGAGGAGTGGGAATGTGAAGTAGTCAAGCAGGAGGATGAAGATGCGGTGCTGGATGGAGAAGGGGACCCTAAAGATGATGTGGACGGGGCAGATGAGGAAGTTGAAGACTCTGAATCGAGGTGATGGGACAATGAAGTGGAGGACTCCTCATCATTGGCATCAAAATAATCTGAACAAGTGGTAGAGTACTCAAGCGGTCTCAAAAACTCCAAGTCCATGGTCGTAGTAGAGTCTGGACCCTTCGAGCCATAATATGTCACATTTTCGAGAAAAAACAACATGATAGGAGATTCGAATTCTCCTGTGAACGGGATCATAACACACGTACCATTTATGCCTGTCACTGTACCCCAAAAAAACACATCGAACTGCCTTAGGAGTAAGCTTGGGGCGTTCCCGACGTTCCAGTAGTATATAACAGGCACACCCAAAAACTCTTACTAGCCATAGTTAGGAAGCCGCAAATACAAAACTTGATATGGGCTACGTTGCTGAAGAATCGACGTAACCTGACGATTATCAAATATACTACTGTATGGAATGCCTCAACCCAGAATCGCGAGGGAACCAGTGAGTGAAATAAACTAGCCCGGGTAAGTTCAAGAACATGACAATGTTTGAGCTCCACTAGACCATTCTGTTGTGAAACCCCGGGACACGACTGATGCACAAGAATGCCCCGTTCACGAAGCATGGCTTGTAACAGATTAGAGGTAAACTCACCCCCAGGATCAGAACGCAAAATCTTAATCATTTTGCCAAATTGGGTCGAGATCATCTGTATAAACTCCTGAGCTCGAGATAGTAGACGCAAAAAGAACACCCAGGTAAAACGGGTAGCATGATCAATAAATTTACCGGAACCTTAGCGCGATGTGATAGGGGAGGGACCCCAGAGATCAATATGTATCAACTAGAAAGGGGAAGAATAAACCGTCTCGCAAGATGTAAATGAACGTTGAGTAATTTTAGCCTGTAAGCAATGAACACACTCATGATCCTGTTCATTCAACCCACCATCAGATAACCATTTATTTTGAAACATCGTACGACAGTCTCAAAGAATGCGGATGGCCCAATCTAAAATGTCATAAATCCCAATTCGATAACTTGAACAAAAATCCATAAAATCATAAACGCTACTACAGTTAGGGGGAGCATCCCATCTACCATCCTTCCACCTTGTCAAGCTTGAGGTGATCTGCCCAGCTAGTTGATCCCGCCCGCTGTCACTAACCGAACCCGCAGCTGATCCCAAATAGTGGTCGAGCAGGTACGTGTGTCCCTTCTTACTCCCTCTCCCGATTTCCTTCTCCATCCTCGCACAGTACACCCAGCCGCATAAAAAATGACACCACAACCATCGTCAGCTAATTGTCCCACAGATACAAGACTGGGCACGAGTTGAGGAACATATAAAGTGTTGGAGAGTGAGATACGAGGCTGTTGCACATCACCCACACCCGTAACCTCCAACCTAGCGCCATTCGCAGCTTGTAATGCGAGACCACCTGTGGATTTATCAAGATTACGAAACACACTGTGTGAGCTAGTCATATGATTGTAGGCTGTTGACTCGTTATGAAACAACTCCTAACAATGTCCAAGTGTAACTAATGAAAGGGACTGCAGTATAGTGGCTCAAGTAATAAATATCGAATCCACGGGTCTCTAGAGTTACTATTACTCAGCTTCAGTTCATTATTTAGCAAACCAGATTAAGATGGAAGAACTAAAACTACTCTAGCAAACTACAGTTAAAGTTAATCTAATTACAGGTTGGGAACTCACTTAGGTATAATTTCCCCTAGCCACTATCCAGAGTAATGATTTATTATCTCTAACCTGTTTCACTTTCATTAACAATGCGGAGAATCCTTGACTAGACCTTGTGTCTCGACTAAAAGAACAAGGCCCTCTTGAGTCAATTGCCTAGAGGGACGTGAACAACCGATCAAGACGTTCTGAACTTGACTCCCTCTATCGAATGAGGTTCTCAATCGATACAAAGCTGTGAATCGACCCTCGACTAAAGCAATCGATCCAATACTATCAATCTATGGTGCTCTATTGACCTCATTAGGTATTCGCTCTAATAGGATCAAAGCAGAATCAATAATCTTGACTAAAGCAGAATTGAATCATGAAAACGTGTATAGATTGAATATGAACTCAAGATTATCAAGTAGGAGTACTCATACAATCATCCAATCAAACAAACATAGCTAGGGTTTCTCAAAAGCTAAGTGAAGGGAAGTTACTCCATAGAGAAGAGAGAGACTGGAGTAAGAATTTCCAGATGATCAGTCTTCAAGTCCGGGCTTGTTCCTCTAGCTTCCAAGGTGAAGAAATCCTCCAATTCCACTACAAGATAGCCCTCAAATCGCCCTCTCTCTCTCTCTTTGGTTCGTCCTTGGGTGTTTGGGAACCAAAAACCCACCTCTCTCCCTCCAAAAACGCACAAAACAGGCTTTTAACAGCCTGCATTCCCGAAACTTGGTCCAAATACCCGGTCAGGTATTTAGGGAACCGGTTAGGTATCAACAAAATGCTATGGGTCACATTTCTGGGCAAAATGGAAAATACCCGGTCGGGTATTTTTGGTTCACGACCAGGGGGCCTTCTGATGCTGCCAAAAATACCCTATAAGATGGTCAAAATACCCAGACAGGTATTTTGGTAGGGAATTTCGCAATTCCGGGTCCCTTATCTTTGATTCTTCGTTTCTCCCTCGTTCGAACTACAAATCAGGTGTCGTTTGATCCCACACGCTCGTAGTCTCGTCCTCTTTCTTCTCATGACAAGCTTATATGATTCTATGGTCACAAATGAGGTAGAAATCCATTATTATTCAAGTCAAGCCCGAGTTTCTTCCCCCGAGTCTCTAAATGATCTCCGATTGACTTGAAACTTGCGGCTATGCTCACTTTATGTGCTAGGATTTGAAATGTGACAAAGGTACACAACCTAGCGTAAAATAGGCCAAATAAGAGATAATGCAAGCTTAAATGATCAATAAACAAAGGGGAAAACATGTGCAAATATCGAGTCATCAGCTGTCGAATGAGTATGCCAAGATGGAGAACGAGGAGGAACCTTAACATTAGCGAACGCCAATATCAAAGCAGTAGGCAAAGCATCTTTCAAGTCCTCTTGGACAAGCCGACGGACATCCTCGGATATCAAGGAGGTAGCATAAGATGGACTTGGGGCTGGTACAGAAGGCATCGCGACATAAGCTCCTCCCACACCAGGACGTGGCAGCCCAATGTGCGACCCATGAGAGCGCGACCTATTCTTCTAAGCAAGAGTAGGGCACGCAACAATGAGGTGACTGTCCAACTTACAATAATTGCAAGTGTTACGCTTAGGACAATGGAACTGAATGTGTCCTAAAGCCTTGCAATTAAAGCAAATTATCTCACCCTTGGTGGTACGATGGAATTGGGGTTTACCACCACCAACAAATGCGGTGCCCAGTTCGAAAGAGTGAAGATCAAGTTTCGCCTGACTCTTAAGAAGAGTCTCTTCCCGCAGAATCACAGCTAAGACATCCTCGATCGTCGAAACATCCCGATGAAAAAGAGATGCCTAAATTCCCTCAAATTTGGAACGCAAGTTCATAAGAAAACGCATCACTCGAGTACTGGATCTCTCCTGAATGGCGTCCTGACTCGCACGAAACTACACCACACATTAATCCCGACTAGAGCCCAAGTTTTTAAACTCTAGCCGGGTGCAGTGTAGAGCAAGTATTTAAATTGTCAACCCGGGCCGATCCATGTACACCTACTTCAATCGCCTAAGTTGTTATCTGGCAAAACGGTTTTGGGTTTTAAAACTAAGAAAACTACAAACTAAACTAGCAAGGAAAAGTCTAACTAAGGGAGCTTCACCCAGGAGTTGCTTCCCCCTAACTAGCTACCAAGACTCGTTGGATTGGAACGATTGCTATGGGCAAGGTAACCGCAGACCGCAGAGGGATGCATATATGGTCGTAGACCACAATCTCAATTGCTAAACCAAGGTGACATTAAAGGCCGTGTCACTCGGCCCTCTCGATTTAGGTGGCCAGTTCACGGCGGTGAACAGCTAAACGCGTCTGTGAACTCAGTGTCGTCCAAAACGCACTGCTTCACTCTCCTGGGTTCACGGTCAATGGCCCCATTTCACGGTCTTAGAGACCGTGAACTCACCTGCCGTCACTAACTTTGGATTTGGCCCTGAACGCCTTGATGTTCACGGTTTGTGGTCAATGTTCATGGTCTTAGGAGACCGTGAATTGCCTTGTCCGGCTGTTTCCTGGACGCCTAGTGTGAAATATGTCGAGGAACGATGAAATTCTAAGCTAAACGAATAAGAAATGAGGGGTAAAATGTGTACATTTGAGCTTGAATCACGTCCAGAGTAGGCGAAGCATACGCCAAGGAAGCCAAAATCAAGTCCTACTCCGTTCACAATGTTACCGCCTCTTAATAGTAAGCACTAACAGACAGATCCCCTTGTTTCAGCTGAGCAAGATCTAGCTCCACGTCAACTTGGAAAGATGCCCCCACATCTCAAACGCAGTCACAAAGCCCTGGAGACTCAAGGCGACACCGGGTCAGCCGAACCCAGCAGTGAGGACTGAGGACATCATAGCCGCGTTATTGACAAACCCAATCATCCTTTTCCTTCTGCGAAGTTGTCTCCGCTGGCGCCCTAGCTGTTTCGTCCAAGATAAAGAGCAGCCGCTTTCCTTGACAATGAATACGAAATTGAAATTCACAGAGAAGGAAATTCTTACCATTAAACTGCGGGAGAGACATATCATTCTTAGAACCCTCCATTATATTCACAACCCAAGTCAGACGCAATATCCACACCAAGCACGAACACGAGCAAACCGATCGACGACAATCACGGGGCGACGAGCGGCAACAGGAAACCCCCAAGCGAATACAAGATAGCCACGCAAATCACGAAGAAGATACGAGAGGCTCTGATACCATGTCAATCTATGCGCAATCACTATTGGTGTAATTATGATCATTCTATGTCTGCGACAATGTTTTTATAAGTAAAATTTAAACCATATAAGAACGCAAATCATTGTCTAAGTCACATTAAATATAAATTTTGTATGAAAATATGTAACTTTGAAATTGAAAATGAAAAGATACATACTATTTAGTAACGATGGCGTAAAAACAATATACTAAGAATGTACAAATTTCATATTATATTGATGTACTTATGTATAATTGTTGTAGAGAAACCGAACGTGTAACTATGACCATGTTTTTAGAAGAAGAATTTTTTAATTTAAATCATATGTGAATGAATATCATTGTGAAACTCCCATTAAATATAATGTTTTTATGCCAAAATATGTAAATTTTAAATTGAAATGAAAAAGATAAATATCATTGGGTAATGTTAGGTTATTGAAAATTATGAAGAGAATGTGCTAAGTGGAGAGCTCTAATTAGACGTCCAAGATATTGTAATAAAATTTATTATTCCCACGGATGTTATTTTTTTAAATGATTTATCAAAGAAAATATATAATAATTAGTTGAGACCTGTTTAGCGATAATAGTTTTATTTTTAAATGATTTATCAAATAGAAAATATAATAATTAGTTTAGACGTGAAGAGTGATAATAGTCCCTTACTTGTCAATTATTTAATTATTAAGAAATTATTTTTTTAGAGCAATAGTCACTTTTATACCATTTATGCGTAGAGTTTGTTACATTTTTTTATAATAAATACACATGACAAAAATATCCTTTAGAGCTAGAAAATTTAAATGGAGCATGTTTGAATAAACAATCTCCATAAATAAGTGGTAGAATATGTAAAGGGAACAAGCAAGGGATGATGCAGATACGATTTTTAGGATAATTTGAGAGCTAATCAGGTGATAAAACTCAAAAGTTGTCGTTGATTTGAACTCTATCAAACTGTTTGGACAAATGAAAAAATAGGATTAACATACCTCATATGTTTAAATTTATTGAATCGCTATTTGTAGCCTAAATTTCAAATTTTTTCACCCTAAAATACAATAACTTGGCATATTTACCCCTCAACCCAATTTCTATTCTAAACCCTAACCAAACAAGACTTTGTACCTTCCCTCACCCCAAACCACATCGGCCGTCGGCCTCCCCTACTCGCATGAGAAAATGTTTCTCTTCCTTTGCATCTCATGGGAAATCGACTCTCCCTTTCTCTACATCTCTCAAACTTTGTTCTGATCAATTTTCTGTCAGATAATTGGAGCCCTTTTCCGGAAAAATTATCAAAATCAATTTTCTCCTAGATTTACTTTGAAGTTTGAACACACTATGTAGTTCTGAGAGTTAACTTCCTCTGCATTTACACTCATCCTCTATTTTTGCAGGGACTATGGCAACGCCTAGGAAGAAAAACAGAGCCTCTGCACCATCGGCTCCATGCCTTTAGAATTAGAAGCAACAGGTTGGGAAACCAAGAGAACGCTTCTCGCTAGGAATCGTAAGTACTTAATTTTTTTCTTTATTCGAAATCGTTAACTAGTGCTTTTAGGGACTCAATTCTTGCTTTCCACCTTTTTTTAGAAAACACTCTAAAATTTGACATTTGCTCTTAAGTTTTTACTATTTTTTTTTTAGATTTTAAGGGAATTAATAAGGGAATCCTGGAAAGACGCCAACTTTACCAGACTTAATATAGTTCTCTACTTCTCTGTAGTTCCAAAAGTAAATGTAAGTAAGGGAATTAGTGTAATGTAACCTAGTTAGGGCGACGAACAAGGAATATTAGGACGACGAATATCAATGCCCTAACTTTAAAGTCAATTAAAAAAATAACGTGTTCATATAATATAATATACTACATATGTAAAAAAATATACGTAATTGAATACTATATGATTAAAATAAAAATTACCAGTCATGTACAAACTATCCAATCAGCAATCACATCATCAATTGATGTCCAACTACACATTCACTATGATCCATCCTTCTTCAATGATTCTCATTTGACACGATATGACTCCATTCTATCTATGGGTTACGTTGTGGATGAAGTGGTTTCTTTCTACTTGCTAGTTGCTACAAACTTACATGTATAAATAGAACTGATGAGTGATCTATCTGCTTTCTAAGAAAAGGAGAGTGATGAGTTACTCCCTTAAATGAAACATTGATGACCAATTAGTACTTATGCCTAGGCGTGAACAAACACACTCGTAAATTGACCCACCCGTCCAACCCACCTGTATTTAGGGATTTTTTCAGAAATAGTAGCTTAATTTTTTTTTTTACAAAAATAGCACCAATTTTTAAAAACCGCACCTCTAAGGTGCGGTTTGATAGTGAAACGCACTCCCATGGTGCAGTTTATATGTAAACTGCACGCCCAAGGTGCGGTTTAACATTCTGGGCCAAAACCGCATCTTGGCCATGCAGTTCTGGGCATGACCTAGCAAAACCGCATGGCCAAGGTGCGGTTATTGGGCTGACCTAGCAAAACCGCACTTTGGGGATGCGGTTTTGTTTCTCCACAACAAACCGCACCCCCAAAGTGTGGTTTTGCCCACACATCAAACATGTTGCCATGCAGGTTGACAGACGTGGGGCTGCATGGCAGATGAAAACAACATCCTCCCCAATCCCCATGCGGTTTTCATTGATGATTTTGCCTATAAAAACAGCCTAGGAAACAACCTCTTCTCTTCACACCTCTCTTTCTCCCTTTTCAATTTTCTGTTGTAGTTCCCTACTTCTTTAGTGTTTTTGCGGTTAACGTTAACTCGTAAGTTTATTTTTTATTACTTTTTATTGTGATTTTTTATTTTTATGATATTAACTGAACAACGGTTTTTTTGCATATGGCATTCCAAAAGTTCACGCTTGGGTTACGGTGGAATGGTTACACGGAAGAGACCGGAAAGGGGGTCACCTACGTCGGTGGCAATTCTTAGAAAATAAAGGTCGCTACCAGACCGATGCTTGAAGACCTCTATCAAATGTGTACTAACGTTACTTGCATGGATGGCACGAGAAGAGTTGATCGTATGGTGTACCGATATCCAAACAGAAAAGATGGGTCGTTGTGGCACGAGGAATATCTCATAACCACTCGGGATGAAGTAGATGCCATGCTCGAATTCTTGTGGTCCAACAATCTTTCCAAAGCCGATATGTTCGTTTACACCGAGGCGGTCGTAGGCATTGGAGGTCATTCTGGAGACGGTCAAACATCTGGTATCCATGGTGGAGGTGAATTATATGGAGATCATCCCTACCAAAGTTAGCATGATCCTCATTCCTATTTTCAGTACCAAGAGCAAGGTGAAGGTCATCATCAATCTTTCCCGTCATATGAAGAAGAAGTTCAACCGGACCATGCCAACCAACCCCAGTACAACTTCCAATCAGGCAGTGGTAGTTTTCACAACTACCATTATGGAGCTGATGTAGGTGCCTTTCATGAGCTAGATCAGATGGAAGATGCCCTGCCAGCACCAGTTAGTGACCCCTCCGATGAAGAAGGAGAGAACAACGTCAGTGCAGACAACTCTGACCCTCTTGAAGGTGCTGATGATTCAGGACCTGAGTCAGACTCAGATAATGATGATGAGGTGGCTCATGACCGTGTACCAGTCCCCTACTACAATCACATTCCAGACAAAATTGGATGGTCGACAACGACATGGAACCCTCACAGGTTCCAGTATGGGGTCCACTCACTGGGTTTATGAAGGGCCAACAATTTGGCTCGAAGAAGGAGGTGTGGCACACCATTGATACTGAAGCAATGACTCGGCATTTTGAATGGCACACAACTCATTCCAACACGAAAAGGCTCATAGTTAGATGTCGTAATCATAACGAGGGATGCAATGTTAGGATTTGGGCCATCAACAGCAAGAGACACGGCCATTGGTTCATATCCCGTGCGGTGAACACACACAAATGTGTGTCATCCATAACATCCCAAGGCCATTGACAGTTGAAATCCAGGGTGGTTGTTGCGGCTATCAAGCATCTAATTGAGCAAGATCCTGACCTGAAGGTGAAAGTCATAATCGGTGACATTGCAAGTCGTTATGGTTATATGATTAACTATAAGAGTGGCATGCAAAGCAGAAAGCTCTGGCCGTCGTATTTGGTGGTTGGGAAGAATCATATGCATTCCTTCCCAGGTTGATTTTGGCATTAGAGGCGTCTAACCCTGTCACTGTTTTCTCCCCTCGATACCAAGATGAAGAGATACTACCGCCAGAGCCAGGTAACAAACCCCATTTCAGACGACTTTTTTGGGCATTCAAGCCATCTATTGATGGTTTTGGCTTCTGTGTCCCTGTGATCCAAGTGGATGGTACATTCCTTACCGACAAGTACAAGGGCACTCTCCTGATTGCCAGTGGGGCGGATGCAAACGGACAAGTCTTTCCTTTAGCCTTCGCCATTGTTGAGGGAGAGAATACTGATAGCTATGGATGGTTTTTCCGGAAAATTCAGCTCCACGTCACTATGAGGACAAACCTGACAATAATCTCCAATCGGCACGCCGGCATTAGAGCTTCCATCTTAGGTTTGGATCCAGCATGGAAGTGGTCCCAAAGGTGGTGCATACGACACTTCAAGAGCAACTGGAACCATCACTTCAAACGAAAGAAGCTTGCTGATAATTTGTGGTGGATTGGTTAGCTCTCGATTGGTTGTTTAATTTTTTCAAATATCAATATCTTATATTAATGAACGATGCTACACTTGTTAAAATCTTTCTAAAGAGATGCATGCCTAAGAAAATGGAGTTTTAAGCAATTATAATGGTCCTCCCATTTCATGGAAAAATCAGGTTTTAAGCGATCCTCGGATCCCCCCTTTTTCTGTCAACCAGGTTGTGTTTCTAAGGAGATGTGTACCTCTCCTAAGAGTCTAACGAGAGTACCTGCTGGTTGTTCGAATTGTACTAAATTGCCGAATTATGACTAACGTAATACTTTTCTGTGTGTTCCTCAGCTGTTGCATACCAAGAGAAAA